CTTTAATTAACTCTTACATATTTTATTTAACATTCATACCTTAAGTTTTTTCATTTCATTTTCATTTTATTACTATATATAATAATATCTATATCTTTTGTTAATACTTATATAAAAATATTTATATAAAGAAGAAGAAAAAGAAAAAAAACACGAATAGGTACTACTTCTTATAATCGATTCATTCACGATATCTTAATTTTCAATTCATAAAAACATTATAGATAACATTTCAGACTTGTTAGCGATCTAGGTAGTGGATGTTTCCGTAAAATTTATACTTCGATGATCATGTCAGGAATTTGAACGATCGGCTTCTGCACCTGCACGATATATCGCGTTCGTTTGATCCCGAGAAGGACTCGGATGAACGACAACACAATTAACGGGCGAGAAATGCGTCTTGGCCAATCCAGTTTGGCTGTATATAAATAAGTATAAGTATACTTATACATATGCACGAACCAGTAGCAAACTTCAGTCTCGAGATTCGCGTTAAGAGCAGGTCTTCAATCGTTCGAGCATGAAGAATTCACTGGACCATAGTCAGCGCTATCGTGTTGTATTAACTTCCATTGAAACTCGGCGCCGGATAAGAGTCGACGTGTGAAAAGTTTCAAGCGATACGTTTACACGTACCCAACATACAAGGGCACTCATAGAGGCGTAAAAACTGTGCCCAGCTTCCCGAAACTGGACTACTCGTACCTCGCAACACGTCAGATCGTGAGATGGGATAAACTCGAAAATGATCTTTTTGCTTTTCATGGAATTCCGAGGGTTGTCCCGAGCGGCTTCTTAGAAAAGGAGATCGTTTCTTTCGGTACGTTTCATTCTTTTCGATAACATCAAACGAAAGGAAGATTCGAACTGACAATCGGATAATTATTTAATTTAGCTATTTTTATGATTGTACAATATGATCTTTCGCAAAAAAAAAATATATATATATATATATATGTATATATGAAAACATCTTTGAAAATTAATATTGAAACATGAGAATTCGTGATATAAAGCGAAGGCTCTCTCGAAATTTAATTGTATGAGTGTTATTTAAATTAGTAAAGTCTGATAAGGATAGAAGGTTTACGTTAAAATTTCTTTTTAAAGGAATTAATTTTTTTTTATTTTTTCTTTCTTTTTTTTTATTTACAAAAATTTATAATTGAGTATGAGTTAGACAAATGGAGAGTAATAATGGAATGCCAACGCGTTAATATTGATTTCATCCTTTTTGAACGGACTTTTTCTTTCCGGTAAGAAGACGACCTCGCACGCGACGAAGAACAAAATGACTAACGGCCATATATATATATATATATATATATATATATATATATATATATATATTATACTGTTAAAAGAGAAAGAGAATATCATTCGAAGGAGAGTAATAAATCGTATGGCTCGCTATGAGATAAGATCTTTTTGATATTCACGGTTTTACGCTTTGGGGAAATACACGATGTCTTACGGAATATTATTTATGGTAAAGTAATATAAAAGAGACTCTATAAGAGAAAGAAGAACAAAGAATGAAGCAATGAAGACGGAATGAGGAGGAAGTAAAAATAAGGAAAAAAAAATAAAAAAAAAAAAAAAGAAAAAAAGAAAAGGAAATACCGTTTCAGTACAATTTCTTAATAAAGAAAGATCCGGCCAACTTGGATTGCAAACATAAATCGGGTAAATATTTTTGAAAATAGATCAAGTAAGAAGACGAAAGTACCGTAATTTGGGCCAATACATTTTGCTTGTACTTTCAAGGAAGGGAATCATTATTTCGAAGGTAAGGTAAGATAAAAAGGAAGAGAGAAGTACCAAAGAAAAAGAGAGAGAGAGAGTGAAAGAGAGAGAGAGAGAGAGAGAGAAAGAAAGCAAGCATCGACGAAGAAACACGATACGACATATTCATCATAAACCATAACGCAGAACACCTTGAGCATTCACGACACGTCAAAAAGCTTCAAAGGAAACGCCATAAGAGCTGCGGAAGCCCTTTTAAGGGCTATTATTATAATCGTTTGTACTCGCATGGCCCATTGCACATTACCGTTCCTCTTATCCTCTTCTTCTCTTTCTATTATATTCCAAAAGAACTTTGAGAAAGATGAGGGCTAGGAATAATTATTACGTCCTAAATCCTACGTTCTCTCTTAGGATAGACTTTGTATACAACTAAGCTTCGAAACGAGATATGGGGTCATAGTGTCCATTGGGAGCAAAAGAAATCGGAGATCTTCAGCAAGGAAATATCCTATCCTGGAGCCTATCAAAATGCTCGACAGGACGAACAATTTTAATGGAGGAAATTACGCTTCCCGTAGAAGTATTAAAGAAAAGGATATATATATATATATATATATATATATATATATATATATATATATATATACATTGATAGAGATCGATTTCCTCGATAAGTTTTCTCAATTTGTAAAATTAGAATCTATAATTTACCAAGAGTTCGTATATATCAGACATAGGTACCAAAGAGATGGCTAGGACAAACGATAATCCTGTTCAAGACGCTTGGTACGTACACGTTGTTGCCCCTTTGCATGCGATCCTTTAAATGGGACGATGTTTGCACTTGCACGATACGCGCCGGATCGTACAGAGGTTTCGAACTAATCACATAAGGTTCTTATTGCCAAGTTCGGTTGCCGTATGCCGACAGCGTAGACGGTTGGGCGATGAGGGAATAGTAATTTCCCAGATTTAATTAACCAATTTGTGCACGTCTTCTGCGCAACGTCGCACTAACCAAGCTGTCTGAACGAGCCGAAACCATAGCCTAGATTTTCTAATTACTTCGACCGTCATAGAGGAAACATGGAAATTAGAGCCGATCGACGGAAGGTACGCGTAAAACGAATAGATATTTATCTTATAAACTATTAAAGAAAAATCTTGTATCGTTTCCGATAGATCATTGATCATTAGTATACACTCGTCGATGTAACAAAAATTTTTTTCGATTTTTCATCGACTGACATAACTTAACGAGTAAATTGATTGGATAAAATTATTCTCGGTGAGATAAATCATCATGGATTATAATGCCGATTGAAACGAGCTTGAAATATAAACAAAGGAGATACAAACGACTTATCTTGTAACGATTGTAACCAACCGTCAACGAATCGTAATTATTCTTCGTTATCTAACTAGTATCTCCATTCTTTTAATTAAAATCTTCGAATTTACCGAGAATAGATCATAGGATCTCATTAAATAGTCATCTTCTTGCTCGTTCATCGTTCTCGTAAAGCTGACCAGAAGAGTCGCAGGAATCTCGTCCCTCTTCGGACTTTTCCCCATCGCTATGGGAGTTTTAATCCGAAAGATTCCGTCGGCGTATTTTACGGTATATATCCCTTGTATATCACGTACGACGACACATAGGTAAAGAGAGGGTGACGCACGGAGAGAGAAGCAAGGGGAGGAAAGTGATAGAGAGCGAGAGCGAGAGAGAGAGAGAGAGAGAGAGAGAGAGAGAAAGAGAGAAAGACAGAACGAAGAGAAGAGAGATATTCCAATAGCAAAGAGAGACGAAAAAAAGAGTGAATGAATGAGTGAGATAGAGATACGCCTATCGAATTCCTATTATTAAGGTTTCCATCGAAACGCCACCATCCTTTGCTTGTTTGCTGCTTTTCGAGGTACCCTTCGCACACAGTTCTCGAAGCTTTGAGCTTTACTCTCCGGCTTATGAAGTTCCGCCCATTGAAACGTCGTCGCATACCGAACGAATTGTCGCGCATGCGATTTATTAAAGCGGAACTCTACCACTATATTAGTTCTAAAAGGGAGAAAGAGAGAGAGAGAGACTGAGTGAGAGTTAGAGAGAAAAAGAAAGAGAGAAAGATAGATAGATAGATAGAGAGAGAGAGAGAGAGAGAGAGAGAGAGAGAGAGAATCGACAGACTGAAAATGAACGAGTACGCGCAAATCATAGTTTCAGGAAATTCTAAATGTATCCCATTACGAATCTCCTCGCAAGTTGAACCCGTTCTCTAATTTGTTAGAGAAACGTAAAATTATATTTTATTGTAACTGTTGAGAAGGCAGTACATATCGGATCCAAAAGAATTTTCAGCTACGATGGAAGCGAGAATGTCTTTCGCTAGCGTTTAACAATTTCCCGTTTCGACATTTGGATTGTGAAGTTTCTTAGTTTGGGACATCAAATCGGAAACGTCGCTTTAAAGATTTTTCCTTTTTGCATATTATAGCAGATAGGAAAGAAAAGGCAAAGAGATAAAAAGACTATTTGAACTGTTATATTTGCGTATTTTGATTCAGTTTATATCGATTACAAGATATAATATAATTTTGATAATATTATTGAAATTCTACCAATCCATCTACAACCATATTTATACGTTTTGTTAGAATTTGGTAGATAAATGTATTAGAATCATCGGTGTATTTATATATATATATATATATATATATATATATATATAATACGTGATACGCGATACTGTAAATATACGATCTAAATCACGTTGTTTATGAAACGGATTATAACTTAGTAAACATTTCTCTTTACGATATGTACTTACTACATATAGCAGAGAGAAAATCGAAATTTCATTTCAATTTAAAAACTCGTCTTGTTAACGCTCATGTAATTTACTTTCTTGAAAGTAAGATTAGTTTTTCTTTTTTTTTTTTTTTTTTTTTGTAATACAAAATTATAGAAGTATTCAATGTGTTTTAATAAATAACATTAACGTCGACTTATTATTACAGTGATACATATTCATAAATATAAATATCATTAGAAGGAGTAAATATTTTTTAATAATAATTAACGATCTATTAGGCTAAGAGTTAAATTAAAAAGATGAAAAAGTTTTATTAAAGTAGAATAATTTACTTCACACTTTTTAAGTTACATTGTCGACAAATTATCGATTTGCTTTCAACGAGAGTGAATGAATTCAGGCGAATTCTCGTAATCATTTAATTATTTCTCATCGTTACAGATACGAGAAGGAAAGTTAACTCGTACGAATTACTTAACAAGTACGGAAGGCGATAATTTCGAAGGGGCGAAATTCCTTTTATGGTGCATCACCGAGATCTCCATTTGCGTTTACCTCTTCGAAAGATCTCGACGATAATACACGGATCTCCGACTTCCATTATGGCGGATAGAAGAACGGAAACGGCGGAATAACGACCGCGACGGTGATACGCGACGGAGGTAGTACGCGTCTGGGAGTAAGCAGAGGGCCGGAGGGCTGATAGGGGCAGCTCGAGAGACAGCTGACAAGGTACGATAAATCAACGCTTTCTCTTTTCTAGCTACGACGCGAGTCTCGTCGTACGATACCTACGTCGATGTACCTACGCGTCTTCGAAAGAAAAATAAGAGAAAGAACATTGCAGGTCACTCAGCTTGAAATCTATCACTTTTTCCTTTTTGTTTTTTTTTTCTTTTTCTTATTCTCTTTTTTAAATAACATTTTTGATTTTATTCGAAATAAAGTTTTTTTTTGTTCCTTTTTTTTTTATATATATATATATATATATATATATCTATATATAACAAAAATTAACATCTTTTAAATGACATAATCGGTAAATTCCATCGTAGATAGAACGTTGCTATTAAATCATAATTATTTTTACATGATCGATCGATTAAATCTAAGCAATAGTATTATAGGATATAATTATATATAAAATATAAATGTATGCTTGCGTAAAAGATCGTACATATTTTGGATTTTTAATCCTTTGACCTGCAGCGACGACCGAGGTAACATTATTGTTCTCGCGGTATTTTAACGCAAGAGGAAGTCTATAGAAGTAGTAAAGCACGCGTAAGATCGGTCTGCATGCCTTCGGGCTACGACCGATTTCGTGCTACGTTGTATCATGCTGGGATCACCTTCTAAATACGGCGTAGATCCGACATCGATAAGGGAACGCTGTACGTCGGTGTAACCCGCCACCTTTCTCTTTCCCTCTTTTCCCTTCTCTCTCTCTCTCTCTCTCTCTCTCTGTCTTTTTCTTTGTAAAAACATGGGAAGGTGTTTCCTGTAGCAAAGGATTCGATGCCCGTCTATCATTTATACCGCTGTCGTATCGCAAGAGAAACAGAGATAAAGACTTAAATTATGCCGGATATCGCGTTTTAATTACCGATTACGTCTATTGATTTTTTACTTTCGAACTAATTGCCTTGCTTTTGAACGAGGATGGTATCTTGTACATCGTAGATTGTGCCTTGATAAGAAGTCTCATGGATACATTCGAGGGATCTTGATTCTTTTAATTCTATGGTGAAACGAAATTCTTAAACGACGTATGTTTGTTTCAAACTCTTTGATACTTATGCTTTCTCATTTTAATCTTTCATATTTTTTATATTTCTCAGAATTTTTATATATATATATATAAATTTGGTAATTTTAATTTATATGTAATATATAGTATAAAAGTTTAAATCTGAAGATACGACCAAAATGAAAATGGAAATGATTGAAGTGATATTTCAATTAACTTATTCGATTTGAAGAAATTTGATCTAATCAAGCGTGACAAATATGTTTACAAAAAAAATCGTCTTTTTTTTTTCTTTTTTTTTTTTTTTTTTTTTTTTTTTTTTTTTTTTTTTTTTTAAATAATATAGAGGATACAATCGATATAGATATAGATATCTCAATGTGTATTGTAAAGCAGCCAATATAACGATGTAATTTAAACGCGTTCGGCTGTGTTGCGATTGAGTCGAACGCTTGACATGGCATGCCAGCGATTATTAAACGCGGTGGTCGGCTCCGAATATAATTTGATTTATATGTAATTACCGGCGCGTCCATTATTTCCACCTGACGCGGATCAAATTCGTATTAGCTTAATCATAATCGAATGGCTGTCGCAATCGAGGAAAGCATGGGTTACTGTTTGAAGATTCTTTATATAGATCCCTACATACTGGATCTAAATCAAAAAGATCCGTATTCGAATTAAAATGATCTTTAATGTATTGATTTTATAACAATTATCTTAATAATATCTATTTTGCAAATATCCTTTCGAAATCTTATTTCAGCGAGAAAACATTATTCAGAAAGTTTAATTAGAAAATTCGATCAATAATATTTTCAATTAATAATATAAAATATCTACGTACACGTATGATGTTATATAGATAAAATTTTAAGTGAAATGTCAATGGAAGGAAGATGTTCAAGCAAGATATGACATTTATGCAGTGAATTTATAGAGCATATAAAATATTCTTTGAACAAGACATATTATGTTACATCTATTCTTGCATGATATACGTGGTATTATGATGATGCAATCTCTTACACATAAAACTCGTAAATTATTAATAATACGTACTTATAAATTTGTAAACTCTTATGGATAACTGGCCGATTAAATATAATTCCTCTTCGACAAAAATATATTTTTCCTTTCTTTATTACGGATCAATTTAACGTAATAAATTTGTTTAAGTTAATGTAGAAGACATAAAAAATTTCTTTCGTACAATGAATTCGATAAATCTATAAATCATAGAAGGAAAAATAATTGATTTTCTAGCGATGTTACCTCCCGTCCAATCGGTAGTCGCTCGTTGGAATTTCACTCAAGAAAGTCATAAGTAGAAACCTAGAGAATTGGAACGATTCTAGTAAATGGTTATGGTTGGCATTGAAATACCGTTATAAACGACAGTGGGCGGTTCGGTTTCTTCGCGCAAGACGTTACTATCTCACCTTTCTCATGACGGTAATCACCAATCTCGCATATGTGTGCGAATAGTACCATACTATAATAAAAGATTTTGCTTTCGCACTTTTATACATACCACGAGAGGAAGTATGAGCTTTCGAAAGTTCTTGGACTATAAGAGGGATATAAATTTTCCAGGATTTCTTTCGCGATTCGTATCTCCCTCGTGACCTTTTTCTATCTGCGATTCTTCCCTATCGATCGTATATTCTAAATTTACTCGAAATACCAAATTTCGCTGGAGATCGTCCCGTGAAGTGGTAAAAAAAAAAAAAAAAAAAAAAAAAAAGAAAAAAAAGAAGAAAAAAATAATGAATTCATGATGATTACGAAAGCGAGGATAAATTGGAAGTTGGATTTTATGAAACGTCGGTTTTACTTTGAACAGTGATGTAAAATTTTCCCCAAAAATTCTATTTACTTTTCAAACAATTGTTGGGCTCGATTCGAACGAAAATCTCGCTATTTTTTGACTGAAACTTTTCGGCACTCCTACATACATATATGTAGATATATCTACATACACAAGGTACATACATATATGATGGACGATTCCCATTTTGCGCGATTAATTCGTTTAGTCGCGAAGCGGCGCAATGAGCGTGAATTGAGTTAATATCGAGTGTATCGACGGGTACAGAGGATGGGCAGTTATTACTCTTTCTCTTGGCGTTCGCTCATCACCCTCACTCACTCACTCACTCACTCACTCTCTCTCTCTCTCTCTCTCTCTCTTTCTCTTTCTCTCTCTCTCTCTCTCTCTCTCTTTCTCTTTCTCTCTCTCTCTCTCTCTCTCTCTTTCGCTTTTCCACTCTAACTGCCTTTTTCGCTTTTTTTCTCTTTTTTTTTATCTCTTTCTATCTCTCTCTCTCTCTCTCTCTCACTCGCTAGTTATTCGTTATCGAAGGTAAAAAAGTACCTCTGTTACCATGGTAGTCAAATCGATTACCGATTGGTAGGTAATGTGCGTGTAATGCATCGACGTCTCGTACACGTTTGCTCGATCATTTTGCAACGCAGATGCACTTGTTGAGTAGTAGGGTCGATCGGAAAGTAAGTGAAAATGCGTGATCGATACGATGTAAGAGAAAGTTTTCTCAAATATATTGGATAGTTTGAAAAGTTTCTAATCAGATTTTAATAAAACTTGAAAGGATACAATTTTTCCATATATGCAATTTTATTTTTGATAATAGAAAGATTAATGTTTTTCATTTAATTGATAAATAATAATAATGTTGCCTATATACAATATATAAGAATATTAAGATAAATGTTTTTATTTATTTTACTTCGTAATTATTGTTGATTTGCACCATTTTGAAAATTGAAATTTTACGAAGCTTACGAATCATCGAAATGTGATCGCGTAAGAGACTCAGCTTTCGATAACGAGAACGAGTTAACGAGTCCTGGAAACACCATTATTATTATTTCTCCTGTCTCGACTGTCGAATCGACTCCTATCCTTTCTCCGTTTGTACGACGATGAAAGTTTATCTCGTTTTATCCGTTTACAAAGGTTCGTTTCAATACCAGACGCGAGATACGAAAGCCCTTTTGATTGTTATTTAATTTGAAATGTTTTCAAATTTAAATTATGGAAAATCAATCCAACGGGGAATAGTTTATCATTGTAATTGATATTTGTGCCGGTGGTCTAACAACAAGTGAAAAATAAAGTAACACCAAGTTTATCATTTATTTTGTCCTGTTTCGTTTTAATTAATGAAGCAATTTAATTTTCTGACAAACGAAGCATATATATCATTTAAGCCACTATCACTAGTACATATAATTACTAATACATTTAATGGTAAAGCACAACAGTGCTCAATGAACAAATAATTGGAATGATGGAAACTAATGTATGGAGAGAATCTACTCCGCGTTATCGGAATGGCATTAAATTAATTGTTATTTCCTTTATTCCAAAGAAAGTTTGATTAAAGTAAAACACAAAATAAGCGAATTACATTGAACGTGTTTGTCAAAAGATAGATAACTTTGAGTAAGTCCGAACGAGAGAAGATTATAAGAAATCAATGGTAAAGTAATCGTTTTAAAGACGTCTCTTCTAGAAGATATGTTCTCGTGGATTTCGTTTGTACGATACTCGTCGACATTTTTCTAATCGTTCTTAACTCGAAAGAGATGGCAAGCGATATCTATCTGCGGAACACGAGCATACCGGTTGTTTGCTGTATCCCGATGTGAAAATCGACGACTTTCTCTCGGTCCACGAGGTGCACGAACATTCGCTCGATGTTGGTGGTGTGCATACGAACGGCCTAACCCGAGGTGTGAGATTTGCATCGGTGATTACGGATGATCGGTCTCTTCCGGGAAAAGCACACCGCGCGACTTGTGTGTTCCCGAACGCAATACCTTCAGACAAAATCTCACGACAAAGCAGAAGACTACCATCGACGCGAGATCGCTAATACGTAGGCTTTTGAAATCTTTGGATCAAATTACTGTTATTACTTTTTTTTTTCTCTCTCTCTCTCTCTCTCCTTCT